CGTTTTCCTAACCCTAACCCTACCCTGGTGCACATCCCTAACCCTAACATAGGGGTAAATTCCATTGAAAAGAGGGAGATTTTGAAAAAGCCTTCCTTGAGTAGCTTTTTCTGCCCAGCTCATCCTTTCTGCCCACTCTAAACACATTCCAGCCATCAGAAACATGCCAGGACACCCCGTTTTCCTAACCCTAACCCTACCCTGGTGCACACCCCTAACCCTAATATAGGAGTAAAGTTCTATTGAAAAGAGGGAGATTTTGAAAAGCCTTCCTTGAGTAGGTTTTTCTGCACAGCTCATCCTTTCTGCCCCTTCTAAACACATTCCACCCATCAGAATCATGCCAGGACACCCCGTTTTCCTAACCCTAACCCTACCCTGGTGCACATCCCTAACCCTAACGTAGGGGTAAAGTTCCATTGAAAAGAGGGAGATTTTGAAAAAGCCTTCCTTGAGTAGCTTTTTCTGCACAGCTCATCCTTTCTGCCCCTTCTCAGCACATTCCAACCATCAGAACCATGCCAGGACACCCCGTTTTCCTAACCCTAACCCTACCCTGGTGCACACCCCTAACCCTAATATAGGAGTAAAGTTCCATTGAAAAGAGGGAGATTTTTAAAAAGCCTTCCTTGAGTAGGTTTTTCTGCACAGCTCATCCTTTCTGCCCCTTCTAAACACATTCCAACCATCAGAACCATGCCAGGACACCCCGTTTTCCTAACCCTAACCCTACCCTGCTGCACACCCCAACCCTTACATAGGGGTAAAGTTCCATTGAAAAGAGGGCTATTTTGAAAAAGCCTTCCTTGAGTAGCTTTTTCTGCCCAGCTCATCCTTTCTGCCCTGTCTAAACACATTCCAACCATCAGAACCATGCCAGGACACCCCGTTTTCCTAACCCTAACCCTACCCTGGTGCACACCCCAACCCTTACATAGGGGTAAAGTTCCATTGAAAAGAGGGAGATTTTGAAAAAGCCTTCCTTGAGTAGCTTTTTCTGCCCAGCTCATCCTTTCTGCCCCGTCTAAACACATTCCAACCATCAGAATCATGCCAGGACACCTCGTTTTCCTAACCCTAACCCTACCCTGGTGCACACCCCTAACCCTAATATAGGCGTAAAGTTCCATTGAAGAGAGGGAGATTTTGAAAAAGCCTTCCTTGAGTAGCTTTTTCTGCCCAGCTCATCCTTTCTGCCGCTTCTAAACACATTCCAACCATCAGAACCATGCCAGGACACCCCGTTTTCCTAACCCTAACCCTACCCTGGTGCACACCCCTAACCCTAATATAGGAGTAAAGTTCCATTGAAAAGAGGGAGATTTTGAAAAAGCCTTCCTTGAGTAGGTTTTTCACACAGCTCATCCTTTCTGCCCCGTCTAAACACATTCCAACCATCAGAATCATGCCAGGACACCTCGTTTTCCTAACCCTAACCCTACCCTGGTGCACACCCCTAACCCTAATATAGGCGTAAAGTTCCATTGAAGAGAGGGAGATTTTGAAAAAGCCTTCCTTGAGTAGCTTTTTCTGCCCAGCTCATCCTTTCTGCCGCTTCTAAACACATTCCAACCATCAGAACCATGCCAGGACACCCCGTTTTCCTAACCCTAACCCTACCCTGGTGCACACCCGTAACCCTAATATAGGAGTAAAGTTCCAGTGAAAAGAGGGTGATTTTGAAAAAGCCTTCCTTGAGTAGGTTTTTCGGCCCAGCTCATCCTTTCTGCCCCGTCTAAACACATTCCAACCATCAGAATCATGCCAGGACAC